CCCACCTTTACTGACTTTTGGAGTGGAGCGTAGAATTTCTGCCAACTTGAAATTTTTGAAGACACTCCTATACTTTGTTTAGTCATCGCGGGCTATAGTGTCTAATAACACTTTTTTTTTCTCGGAAACCGTTATACCTTACGGTGTTTGGATGGTCGATTTCAATTGCTAAAGGCATCCTCTAAATCATCCTAAAATTTGATCAATTTTGGAGGTACCCAACGGGGTCAAATTCACCCCCAAAGTCCGCGCCGCGCTGTGTACCTATAGTGTCTAATAACACATTTTTTTTCTCGGAAACCGTTATACCTTACGGTGTTTGGATGGTTGATTTCAATTGCTAAAGGCATCCTCTAAATCATCCTAAAATTTCATCAATTTTGAAGGTGCCCAACGGGGTCAAATTCACCCCTAAAGTCCCATCCGCGGTTTATAATACTGATTTTTTTTCTCGAAAACCGTTAGGGCTTACGGTGTTTTGAAAATTGATAAAAATACTTAGAAGTGTGTTCTATTATGTGGTAGAATTTCGTTTAATTCGAAGGTGCCCATCAGGGCGAAAACATCCCTTTTTCCGGGGTGAGGGTTGAAAAATTTCTGTTCAGCAAACTTTCCCCTTGTATTTCCGTCTACTTTTCGGTCCAATATTTTCGTTATCTACAAAAATAGTGAAAAATTTGCAGCCGTTATTTGAAGGAAATTTAACAAATGGTTTACATATTCGAAAAGAGCTAACCTTGGCCTGTCTTATTTCGAGTTTTCGTCCATTAATATCTGCCAGCGTCTGTAAAAGAAACGCACCTGAAAGACAACCTACAGGTAGCAGAACGCAATCACTTCTTACCCTAACTTTCTTATTTGATGAAGGAAAAATTGGAACAAAGTTTTACCCGAGAGAGAATCACTTCATTTCATGTTGACAGATAATTTTTCATTCACTCTTAATTTATTTAAAACCGTTTAAAAACATATAAGTACGAAGGCTTTCAAGGCGTTTTTGAAAAAATGTTTGGCGTTTCGGGTGCCATGTTGCAACCTTCTTCAAAAAACAAGTTGGAAGCGAACCCGAAAGTTTCTAGTTCTAGGTCTAGTGTTAGTTCTAGTGATAGTGCTAGTGTTAGTTCTAGTTTTACGTTTAGAAACATGTTAAACTGTTCAAAAAGGAAAGATTATTTCATGTTACACCTATTTTATCAGAATCTGGAAGAATTTGAGTGATTTTAGACTCGAATTGTTGAATTGTGTTTTGATGGTTTTGAATCTGGTAACGTTACCAACTTTGCATTTTAACTCAGTTCATCAATTTAAAAAACGCGTATGCAAACGCGTAAGCGAAGTGCGTCGGACACCGTTGGAAAGAGCAGAAAATTTCCCATAAGATGAATATAGTTCTAGAGTTTTCTCCCCGTCATACAAGAGAGTTAGTTATTGACCTAAGCGTGGTTTAGCCGCGGCAAAAATTCGTGGTTTAGGTAGTTCATAGTCAGAAAAAAGGATTGTGCAAACGTGTGATCACGGTGTGTCACACATCGTTGGAAAGAGCAGGAAATTTCCCATAAGCTGAATATTGTTGTAAAGTTTTCTCCCTGTCAAATAGGAAAGTTATTAGTGCAAGAAATATTTGCGTGTTTTTATCGGTAGGGGCTTTTTCAGGTGGGTTTTTCTTACAGACGCTGATAGATATTGGCGGACGAAAACTCGGAATAAGATAGTCCAAGGTCAGCTCTTTCCAAATATATAAGCCATTTATTGAATTTCCATCTGTTAACGGCTGCACAAGGCCGTGAAGTTTGGTAATTTTGAGGTAAATTGAATGCAGCGCGACGTTTCTTATTTTTTCTTGCTCTTATTATCAACATATCGGCGGACGAAAACTCGGTTTAAGATAGAGAAAAGACCAAGCTTTCCAACCGTGTGCTTAGTTTTTCGCTATCTTTCTAAATAACAAAGATATGGGCCCTAGAAGTAGATGGAAATATAAAGGAAAAAGTTTGTTGCTGGGCGGTTTGTTGCTATCGTCTCGCCGGTAAAAAATTGTACAATTATTAATGTGGAAATTAAAATCCTGTATATGACGCAAAGGATAACGGTGAGAAATTGTTATATTGTTAAGTTGGCGATAATCGCCGCAAAGACGCCAATCGTTTGAGTCTCTTTTAGGGACCATATGTAAAGCTGAAGAGACTGAAGATGAGGAAGGTCTACAAATCCCTAAATTTACCATTTGCTCAAATTCAGTCTTTGCAATGTTATACTTTATTTGGTCTAAACGTCGTGGACGACAAAAAGGTAAATGATCATTTGTAATAATTTGATGGCGAACAGAATGTTTTACTGGAAGGGAAAAGTTGGGAGTGGAAAACAAGTTTGGAAATTTTTTAAAAAGTTTTGTATATTGGGTTTCAACATTAAATAGTTTAGGTGGAGAAATATCAGTATTAATTAATGAACCTTTTGTGGTTAAAGTAGTAGTAGTATCAATTAATCTATGATTTTTAATATCTACTAGAATACCAAATTTAAATAAAAAATCAGCACCTATAATCGGTTTACTAACATCTGCAATGGTAAAGACAAAAGGAAAATTTCTTCTTAAATTTAAAGTAATTGTTAGCATCTTTTTACCATAAGTAGAGATAGTACCGTTTGCAGCTGTCAGAGAAGAATTGTTATCTTTATGATAATCTGAAAAAATGTTACGAGGTATGACCGAAAAATCAGCTCCCGTATCAATTAAAAAATGTAATTTAATGTAGCGATCATAAATAAATAAACGAGAAGAGCTATTATTTTGTGAAAAATTGTTATTAAATTTTGAATTATAAAATGTTGAAACCCTTATGTGTTTTTTGAGAAATTGATATTTGAATTTCGGTTATTAAAATTTTGATACGAGTCGCACCAAGGACCTTGACATTTCAACGCTTTATCTTTCAATCTGTAGTGATAATAACAAAGTGAAGAAGATTGATTTTCATTTGAACGATTTCTAGAGTTGGAACGTGATCTATATCTTTGTTGACAATTTTGACAACTAAAATGAGGTCTATAATTATTGTCTCTATCTTTAATTTGATTTTGAAGGTTGGTAATTTGGGTGTCTATAATTGCTTGTTTTTGAGAAATATTAGTGATCAGTGATTGACAAGAAATGTTTAAATCAATAATTGCTTTTATTAAAGATAAATTATCTTGTTGATTCAGGTGAGCTGTCGAAACATCCGAATTTTGATTAATGTTGGAAACATTATTATGAGGAGCAAATTGATGGAAGGAATCCCAAATTTTATCTGCTATTTGTAGAAGATCATTAATGTTTTATTTTCCGGATGCAAGAAGTGCTACAGAGATTGAATGTGGCAACCTGCGCTTCCATAATTTTAAAAGGAGATCATGACTAACCATCTGTGTTCCGCCAACGGTACTCAACATACCTCGGTAAAAATCAGATGGTTTTTGGTTACCCATCTCTGCACCTGACAACAGTTCATCAAGTCTCTTTTCTTCACTGAATGATAGTCGAGAAATTAAAGCTGTTTTAATTGTGTTGTACATATCTTTATCAGGAGGTGAAGAGATAATGTCATAAATATTCGAAATGATTTCAAAAGGCAAATTTGCAACCACCAAATGATACTTGGACTTATCATTTGTTATTCGCGAAATACAAAATTGAGATTCAATTTGAGTAAACCAAATCTCGGGTTTTAATGTCCAAAAGGGTGGCAATTTAATTGAATTCAAATGTGCAATACTATCGTTAGGATTAGAAGATGAATCACCATTTTGATTAGAATTTTCTGTCATCTTGACGTTGATTAATTAAATTTATTAAAAGGAAGTAATTTTGAAATATAATTTGCTAACTTGTTGTTTTTGGGAAGGAAAGTATCTGTAACGGACTTACCGATACCACTGCCAATTGTAAAAAATTTAAATTATAAAGGCGATCTTCTAAATAAAATAAATTCTTCTTGATTGCGATCTTGAAATTTGTTCCTTAAATTCCTTTTTATTTAATTTAATTTATTTATTTTTCATTTCAATTAATGTTGTGTTATTTCTTTCTTCTATATTCTTCGTCTTACTTTATAATTTCTTGTTTTATAAATTCGTAGAAATTGTTGTCTTGTGTTTGCGCAGGCGTAGTCACTTATCGAGGTCACCAATCGGGGACAATTTAATGTATTTTATTCCAATCACGTCGGGGTCACCAAATATGTGGAGGTTTTCTCACATATTATAAAATAATAGAATAATAGTATTTTTAGAAAAAGATTTTGTATTTTGAAAATAAAATAATTGACTTTCTCTTTTGCTGAAGTCTATTCAATTAATAAAAAAAAATGAATTTATATATAGTAACGTAAAATAACAGATTTCTTGATTTTTTTTAAAGGTAGTAAAATCAATGTGGCAGGGAATATATGCAACGCCACAGATTCTATTTCTTTAAAATTTATAATTTTTTTAATCAATTTGTAGATTAATTTGAAGTCAATAAACAACTAAGGCCCGTTACTACCAAACCAATGCTATCTGTCAGTTAAGCTATCTATAAGATAAGGTACGTTAGGGTAATATGGCCCAGTTTCAGTTCAAATGAGTGCAAAAATGTTTAAATCAGGTTTATTCAGAAAATGTTTTGGTAATGTTAAGAATTGGTTCAATACAAAACATTATACTCTTATAAACAATATTAAAATAAACTATATTCGCTTCCACAACAAAAACTTTAGAACCCTCGAATTCCAACCTTAACTGAAATATGTCAAGGCAATTTTTTAAAGGTCGAATATATGGCTCTATGGGTAAAGTAACCAAAACGAGTATTAAGCGCATCTAGGGCACACATAGTCTTCGGTATCTTCTAGAACTAGTCCCGCACAAACTTCATGTACCCAGGTATTAAACTGAATACAACGTCGCATGTCTCGTTCGCTGTCCTCGTCGCATAAAAAACAATACCAAGCTTCTTCATCGTTCTTATTTTGTTTCTCTTAAATTGGCGGATTTGTCCCCTTTCTAAATAACCCTGTTTTTAATAGCTGGGCATTATAATTGATTGCTTTCCTTCGAGGATTTTTCATCTGCTTAGCAAATGATTTTTTCTTTGGACTTTTCTTCGGTACAGAAGCGTTATACCGGTTAGGCTGTTTCACAGTTATGAAACTAAGTATCTTTATCTTTGGTGTAGTAGAATCGGTTTCCTTGTTGGCATTGGTCCATGAGAAACAACCAGAAAAATGAATCAGTGCTTCAGTTTCTTGCTGTTTGTATGTAAGAAGTGACGGACTAAAGGCATTTTCTGGGATGACTGATGGGTCGAATGGGTATATCCCTGTTGCTGGAAAACCATTTTGGATGTTTGAAATTGACATACATTGTTGCCAGACTTTATTAAAGACAATCCCGAATCTATCCTTCTTTAGAGTTTGGCAAGGAACATTTGTTGCTTCCCAGTAATTCAGCAGTTCGGTGTCACAATACTGTTCAAAGGATCGGAAAACAGCCTTGTCTAGTGGTTGCAATTCGTGGGTTGTATTTGATGGTAAGCAGTACAAGGACACATCCAACTTTTCCGCTTCTTCAACAATGGAGATATCTAGGCGACAGGAAGCACCATCAATGACTACAAGAACTCTTCCTGCTGGCTTGAATTTTGCAAAATGTTGTAACCAAACAATAAATAACTCCCTAGTCATGCTCCCTTTTGCAGACATTTGAACAGTGGAACCAGGGGGAAGGTTGTCTGAATAGGTATCCTTTTTTCTTAAACCTTTGAAAATAATCATTGGTGGTACCGCTTGTCCCAGTGCGTTGACACAAGCTACTAATGTCACGTTTTCAGCATGTTCATTGGCTAGTAAATGAATTCGGCGTTCTCCCTTTTCTGCTAAAACCTTGTGAGCATGGTGCAGAGTTAATCTGCAACCCTTTTCATCTAGGTTGTAAATAAATTGGGGCGAATGTTTTAGATTTAATTCGCGTAAAACGGTATCTAATTTGGAAAAATGATCCTGTACGATGGTTGGGTTTAGTTTTTGAGCTCTAGTGATGTTCATCATCTGCGGCTTCCTCTTGGCGATGTTTGGGTGCCTCTTTAGAAACGACTTGTACCAAGTAAATCCAGCAAGTTCCTTCTCATTGTTGAATTTGTGGCCAATATTTGCTTCTTGACAAAATCGGAAAACGCTTCTACGAACTGTTCTTGGAGTTAATGGGAGTCCCACTCGAGACATCCTTATTATTATTGATTCTAAGTCTGCTTCCTGTTCTTCATTTAATAAAGGTCTTTGTCCAAGCTTCCTTTTTGCATCCCCAGTTTTGATATGATTTCTCAAGGTGGTGCGTGGAATACCGCAAGGTTTTTCAACATATCTTGGACTATGGCTTTTTCTAATCAATTCTAGTGCTTCTGTCATCATCTCAGCATTCCAGTTAGCTCGTGTACCTTTGCACACTTTTCCCATGTTGTAAAAACTCGTAAATTTCGTATTCGAATACGGTCGGTAATATGGCCCATTACCATTTTGTTGTGGGCCATATTTCCGACAAGCACTTCACCGACAGTTGGGGTTATAATTTGTGAACAAAATAAACAAAAACTGAGGCAAAAATCAGAAGTTAAGGGGCTACAAATTATAGCAATGACGTTTTCTTACCTGATGAGCCGCTTTACCCAAAGTTACACGATCTCAAACACAGTCAAAAGTAATAAGAACACATTCATGTGCTTTCTGTAAATTGAAGTGTAGCAAGGTCACCAATCGCCAAGGTTGGCTATTCTGGTTGTCAACAGGCACTACAAACCTAATAGAACCTATCAGGCAGTCACTTGTCAACAGATGGCGCTCAAGAAAAAAATTAGTACGAATGGGCCACATTTTTGTCCGGGCCATATTACCCTAGCGTACCTTACAATTTATCTCGTAGATAACAGGGTCGTGCGTACTACCACCTCCATTTATCTCATAGTTAAGAAATCCTTGAGATAACCAAGGAATCTAAGGATTTTTTGGTCTATTATGTTAAATTGACAGCTCTATGTGGTCAAAAGACGGAATTAGGTATTTTGACGATATTCTAACTGTTCTACCCTTAAAATTAAAATTTGGAAATGGAGACTGAGAAAAGGCGACGAACCACCCATTTCACCAAAGAAGAATGCGAACATCTTCTTGAATTTGTTATCACAAACATAAAAACGTAATAGAAAACAAAAAAAGTCAAAAACAAAAAATATTTCGTATTATTGTATGTTAAAATGTGATGGTAAACAATAATGGCACAACTAACACGATGAACGACTGAAGATGCCAATTGTACACTCACTCCTGCAAAATCTGCTATGGATAGCAACATGTTACCTGTTACATAAAATCGAAGTCAGCAACAAACGGTTGGAAGGAGGTACAGCATTATTACTACAATTTTGATGAATTTTACATTAAATAATAACAATTAACAAATTACTTACGACATGGATGGAGATTTTATTTGATTCAAAAGGTGATGAAAACTTTTTTTCGGGAGACGAAATCTCGTTATAAATTCAACATCGAATGAATATTTAAATGATCAACTCTACTCCTTATTATCTTATCGCTTCTTATAGGAAATAATTCATTGATTTCTTCAAAAATTTGTTCTTCATCTCCAATGTCGAAGAAATTATCCATGATGATTTTATCTAATGTTAATTATTAATAGTTTTTTATTTAAGTTTATATTACTTTTCTTATTTTAACTGAAATAGTAAAACGCTCGAATTTTATACGTCAGTATAAATCCTATTTGAGTTACAGATATTTCAAAAGTTATCCCTTGGATAGCGGTATCTATAAGATAAATACGATGCCTGTCGCAGTTTCAAGCTCTGTGGCTGTTTCAGTGAATTATTCAATGTAACAGTGAACTGTTGTTTCTCTGTTTTTTCTGCTTCGTTCGATGATGGGTCTGCATTTCATATAATACTAAGTTTTTGTTTTATCTTTTTTTTCTCTTTTTTAAGGTTAGGGAAAATTTAATTTATCGTTGTTCTTTTGTTGTTTGTAGTTTATTTTTTGAGTTCATTTGATCAATTGTACTTCTTTTTTTTTGTGTTTAATGTAATGTTAATGTAATGTAAAGGTTATGTTTGAAAAGCGTCTTGTCGCAATTTTGCGTCAGACGAAACATCGCCAATTTTCATTTCTATGTATATCGTTTTGGTTTTTTACTGTTTGTTTGTATATATATATACTTGTTTTGGAAATGGAAATAAAGTTTATTATTATTATTATTATTATACAGTGGTAGTAACCAATTTTTAAGCTAACCGATAGATAACGCTATCACACACTTTAACTACATATGAGTGGTAGTAGTGGGCCTAAATATAGATAAGGATAAGATCAAATTTAAATTTAAAAATATCTTTCTTAGACCGATTAAAACATAAATATCTTAGATTAATTAAAATGGTGAACTCAAAAATAAAAATCTGGAGATTTTAATCCTAACTATTTGACATTTATAGAGATAAACCATAAAATCCCGAAACCTCGAAATTCATGTTTTAGGAACTCGTGCGACGATACTTTTAAACAAAGTGCAACAATTGAAAAATGTAATATTATTATGATGAAAATTTATTGATAAATTTCAGTGCTACAATATTGTTTCGACTCAAAATAATAAAATCTTAATTAAAGAAAAATTATAATAAAAATATTTACCGTCGTAAATTTAGGGGCAAAACTTGTGTAAGATGTACGTACATTGGAATGGTAACAAAAATCTTCAGTAAAATAGCAAAATGTTGCAGAGAGAAAGAAAGAGAAAATTCAAAATATTCTAACAAAATTGGAAATATTACAAGTTAAATTCTAAAAGGTTAAATATAAAAAAAAATGAATTAAAATGAAAAGATAATGAAAATTTGAACTTTATAATAAAAATTTGGAAAGTTTTCGAAAAAGATATAAAAAAACCAAAATGCAGCAGGTCGAACGATTTACAAAAAATTAAAAATTAATTCGGAACGATAATTATTAAGATCAACTTTAAATGAAAAAGAATAAATAATTGAACTAAAAAACTACTCAAAAATGTAACATGCGCATGTTTTAAATGATTAAAATAAAATTTAAGAATTCTGAGAATTAAAAATAAAAATAAATGTTTAAATTTCTTTCCACAACATGATGTTATAAAACAAAAAAAAATTCTGAAAACTAGATGAGAATAAAAATTAAAAACGTAAATATTTTTATTATAATTTTTCTTTAATTAAGATTTTATTATTTTATAATTTAATTTTACAGTCGTGCCTGAAGACGACTCATTCGTTCGAGTCGAAACAATATTGTAGCACTGAAATTTATCAATAAATTTTCATCATAATAATATTACATTTTTCAATTTTTAATATAATGATGAACCTGGAGAAATCATTGGCTATTTTAAAGTGCAATAAAGTTTTACCAGTAATTTCTTATCTACTGTTGTTTCGATCTGTTTCTACAGGTCTGTCACGACGACCTGAGTCTATACAGTGTGTCCCGAAACTCAAAGTCAACCTGTTCTAGTAAAAATCAGAAAAAAATTCCATGTCTCTTAGTTAAGTGGTAATAGATATATTTTTGAAAATGTTAAAAATCGTGTCTGTTTTTATGTTGATTTGTTTAAATAAAAAGGATTGTGTTCTTAGTAAACGATTTATTCTTCTCTAATTGTTTTTACACAATCAGTACACTTAAGACCGTTACACGTTCTTGTCTAGGCATATTTGGTTACTACCAACTACGTAGGTTATTGCGTGCTTATAAAATATTTAATCAAACTAACATTAATGTTACAATAGTTCCTGTATCATATCTGTAGGTACTATGGTCAGAAAGGTTCGCAATTCAATAGTGATTTTTTTAATAATGTATTCCTTATGAGCCATCATGCTACTATAGAAGTCACAAATCAAACAACAAAAGTCGTTAGTTTTGCAAAAATTTATGTCTATTAAGTTTAACGCACGATTTCTAAAAAAAGGAGTAGTACAGCACCTTTGGCAAGTTATTTTAAAAGATGGCCTGTTTAGTCAAGGTTCTAAAATGATATAACACTTGCCATTTTTCTTTTCCTAAAAAATATTATTGCCTATTTTTCTGCAAAAAAACGAGTCAGTTAAAAAATTCATACTTTAGTATGTTATTTGTATTCCGAAAAAAATTTAACAACTTTGTTAGAAGATCACTCAATATCTACAGAGAAATGTGGTTTTAACAAGATGGTTGCCCAGGTTATTATGCTTGTCTTGTACGGCAAGGTTTATAGAACATAAGGTTACCTCATTCCCTATGCCTCTGTAGTATCGATTATTACCCCGCAAATTGACGTCACTGGTTCGATACAGTCAGAATAAAAGATAGCCTATACGTGCCTATACTGTGGTACAGTCTATATAAAATATTTAAACCTCGCATCGTGTTGTGTTGTTCATAGAACCAGCTACGTCACTGACCCACCTTGCCTCTCAGAGGAGGAGATCGGTATTGGGTAACCTTATGTTCTATAGACCTTGCTTGTACGGGACTGAATACAGAATATCCCGAAAGATGGATTTGGCGTCTTAGTTCGATTACGTGGCCTCTTCATTCTCTGGGCCTAAATCCCTTTGATTTTTTATTAGGATTGTATAAAACAAACAGTGTCAACTGTTCAAATTTGAAAATTTTCGTCTTATAGTTTTTGAGAAAAAATATCGCAAAGTGGTCAAAGTTGCCGGCAACCTCAAAAATCGGATACTTTTTTGATTTCATTCGCGATAAAAAGAAAACTGAGGAGCCGAAAATTTTACATATGTAATAAAAGCGCAATTATCAATGTATAGGACAATACATTCAGAAGCTCTGTGATGAAATCCCAGCAGAACTAATACAAACTAAAAATTAATACATTTGTGTTTGTTGCTAAATAATAAACTAATTGTTTGGGGAAATATGGAAGACGGAAAAGTTCGCTAGGGAATGGAAAACCGGCATTATTAGTCCTGTATTCAAAAAGAGGTATAAGCTGATTTAATCGAACTATAGAATAAGGTTATTCCTCTAACCGTGCTTGCGGTTATGTACAAATTGTTCATGCAGATAATCCATATGCGGCTAACTCCAGTGGCAGAAACGATCATAGGAGATTACTACGCTGGTTTTAGCAGGGACTAATATCAATGAATTAAACATTCACCAATATATACATCAATTCCACAATGGCTTATGATAAAGTAAAACAATACGAAATTTTGAAAATACTAGAAGAGTTCCAATTATTACTAAAGACACGAAAACTGAAGAGATGCAGTGGGAGAAATCAAATATCAATGTAAAATAGGCAACCAGGAGTTTGAAATGTAACGCGAACTGAAGCTGAATCCGCTATTATTTAATCTCGTCCTGGAAAGGGTAATACGACGGAATTACGACGGGTATATAGACGG